GACAACACCAAGCCAAGGATTGAGATCCCCTTACCGGTCATCTTTAAAAAAAAAAAAAAAAAAACACTGTGGAAAGAGAGGGCAAGGCTCAGGACACCCGGGGTTACACGGATACTTGAGGGTTGCCAACTCTGACTGATCCATCTTAGAGCAGTCAAAAAACTCCCCTGCTGAGCGGAGAGATGAATGCGGAGGCCTATGCTCTGGGTAGCTGCTCTGGAACTATCCATTCACCAGCCCCGCCTCGTCCTCAGAAGGGGCTACTTCAATTCCAGGGCCACTCACCATGTCCTGCCATGTGAGACTGGCTGTGCAAACATGCAATGGCCAGATGATATGACAGTGAGACTCTGACCCACAACCTCTGCAGCAACTGGTTCAGAATGGTCAGGAATTGGACAGTGACTGCCAGCTTTCCTGGTTTTTGTCCGCATTTCCAACTCAGAACCAACCGGATCAAGCTGGATATGCCCGAACCAATCACATAAGATGCCCTACTTCTAATGAGCCGCTTCCGGCCTCCTCAGGCCAGTGACCTCCAGTCGGGGCACACCTGAACCTCCCCTTTTCCCCATGACAGCTCCCCACTCCTCTGCCTGCCCCAGAGTCTCTGCCAGCAGAAGTGACAGTGGCTGACCCTCCTTGCATGGCAAGCTGTGAGTGCAGCACCTCTGCTTGTTCTCATGCAGGTGGTCTTTATTCCTACACTTGGTTTTCTGTATCGTGTTGGGTATGTGAGTTCTGCCTCCTGTCAGCCTAAGGGGTCCTCAACAAGCACTTGTTGATTACCTGGTGGAAGAGGGATGTGTTTGTTCGATCTATCCCAGAGGCCAGAACTAAGAGCAGTGGGTGGACGTTTTAAAGGAAGAATTTTCCAGACATCACAGGAGTCTGTCCACAAAATGGGTCATGCCCTATCGCTTGTACATATGACATCCGTGTCACTTACATAGTGCTAAGCACAGGGTGTGTGTGGTGGCCTTGGTGGCAGAGCTGAGGTCGTTCATGGCCAGCATTCGACACTGGCTGTGCTTTCTGGAAGCAGAAGGTGGAAAGTCCTGATTTGAGGCTCTGAGTCTGCTTTGCCTCCTTCACCTCCTCTGGAGGCAGGCATTTCCTCCTTCCTTTTTCCCATAGGTATTTCTGAGCCCTTACTATGAACTAGGCACTGTCCCTGGTGCTGGGCTTCTGCCTGAGCAGAATAGAAACATTCTTGCCTTCTTGGAGCTTACATTCTAGTGTGGATAGATGGACCGTAAACAGGAAATAAAATCAATGTACATAATTTCAGACAGGAACAGCCCTACTGAGAAAATAAAGCAAGAGGGGCTAGCCAATTAATTCAGCTGCTTAGAGTGCAGCCTTATAACACCAACATCACGGGTTCGGATCCCCGTACTGGCCAGCTACACACACACACGCGCGCACACGCACACACGCACACACGCACGCACACACATGCGCACACACGCACGCATGCACGCGCACACACACACACACACACACGGGTTGTTTGGGCTTGTATATGTCAGGGCTTTCATTGTAGTGGGCGAGGTGGTGGATAAGGGCATGAAAACTGTCTGCGGTGGCCGAGTTGGGTGGCTGAGTGAGCTACACTGACAGGAAAAGGACAGGATAGAGGATAAGATAGAGGAAGAGCGGGAGAGAAGAAACAGGCGAGCTCACGGGGCTCTCCATTCACTAGCTGTGTTACGTGGGCATTGTGAAGCGCGGTAGAGAACATAGCCTTGAGTGTTCTGCGTAAATGGTTCCCCCTCAGGTTTGGTAATAAATAGAAGATCACATAAAAAAGACAATGAAAATAAAATGCGGCTGTTACATTCTAGCTAGACAGTATTGCTGCTTTCAGTTCTGTGCCTGAGGCCTGCTCTACCCTCTGTTTCAAAAGGAAATTAGCAAGTGTTAAAGGAAATTAGCAAGTGAAAAACACACTCATAATTAGAGCTAACACTTAAACGGCACTTATTATGTGAGTATGTCAGGCACTTTCCACATGTTAACTCATTTAATCCTACTAAGTAGGTTCCATATTTATAGCCTCATTTTACGAAAAGGAAAGTGAAACACAGAGAATTTAAGTAACTTGCCCAAGGTCACACAGCTAGCAAGTGGTGGAGCTGGGATCGAACCCAACCCAGGCTCTCTCAACCAGCACCAAACTGTGACTGTCTCCATGAAGGATTAAGAGAGAACTGAGAAGGTAAGTTTCTTACTGTGTGATTCTATGCTAACGAATGTCCTGGCCTTGAATAGCACCGCCTAAAATCATAGTCTCTGTCCCACACCAGAGGACACTGCTCCACATCACATGAACACTAGATGTCACTCCTCATCTTTCAGGACTGGATGAGCATGGTAGACATATAATTCACCTTCCATCTTTCTTGCATTGGAAATGATATGTCATGTTTTAAAACATATATTCTGTATTATGAATATTTAAAGATCCACTATTATACACATGGTAAATTTGATTATAGGCCATGCTGATGATACAATAAAGTATGCACTTCACAGACAGAATGGTAAGATAGTCACGTTGGGCAACCCTATCCTACTTTCCCACAGCTCTTTGTTTGGGAGGCCAAGGAGGCCTCAGCTGTGGCTAGTAAAAAGGAGAGCAATCCTTTGTACACCTGGGAAGTCATACATTTCGATATGAAATTGGATGAAATAAAGGTCCGCGTCATCAACATCTGAAGTCATTGAATAATTTCTTTGGAATCTCAAGACTATTGATTTCATTTCCTTTTAGTTAAAGTTGCTTTCCTGTAATTGCTAAAACTTGAGAAAAGTAAAACACAACTATTCTCATTGTTTAATTGCCAGCATTATGACTGTATTGGTTTTGACTATCATTGAAACTCTAATGTAGATGAGGTCAGTGGTTATGTTCTAGCCTTGCACATGACAACCACTGATGGCAGTTGTTTCCATAGCAGAATGAATTCTGAGTTCTAGACAGTCCACTCACTCTCCTGGAAGATAACTCATTTACACATTGAGAGTCAGCCTAAAACCATAGTCTGGTTATTCTAGAAGTTAATTCCCTTGCCATAACCCTCTTGCTCCAATAGCACTTCCTGAAACAAATTTCTGGATCTCTTTTTAAAGAATTTGAAAACAAACAAACAAACAAACAAAAACGCCCACAAGAAGGGGAATTTTAGAACTAAATCCGTGAGACTTCAGGCTTTAATAACATGATCAGAGTCTTCATATGCACCTGAATATTTAATAACGTGGCAAGAAGGCTACAAAATTTCTATAAGCAACATAAAGATTCTTCAGTCATTTTTAAAGGCAAGGATTAGAGATGAATGTTTAATCTTTTTTTCAGTCCTGAGATCCTATGCAGAGGAAGAACTGCTCAGATCTCAACACATTCTGCATTCTCTGACTACGATTTGTAAGCATGCTACTCAGTTACAGAGCAGTAGTTTTTACCAGTAAGTCCTGTGTCTGGTTAACGTGTGTAACCAGCAATCCATTGTCTGGATCTTGGCCAAGTTCGTTCATATTCTTCTGGTTCAGTTGCTTCTCTAGATCTCTGTCAGTGTTTCTCTGCATGCTGCAAAACATGGTGTGGTTTGATCAATACCTCCGCCCTGGGCTTCCACGTCACACTGCCAGCGCCTCCACTCTTTTCCCTATCCCTAAAAGGAGTCCAGAAATATTTTTATTTCTGTTTGTTAACTGAGAAGGGTCTCTGTAGAATCCTGATAAAATGTGGACTCCAGGTTTAGGAGACATTTTATTTTTCTGGTAGATAACTGAAACCCGCAGGTAGACATAAGATGATACGATGACCATTTACCCAGTGTCACTTCAAGGCGTCTTTCCCCCTCAGCTCCCATGAGCTTCCATGTTGCTATTTTCATTTGCAAAATCAGAGAATCATGCTTACCAATGATTTTCCAGAACCTTATTATCTTGACCATGGAAGACTTGACTAGTTTGTGTAACCATTATAAAAACACCCAACACAATGGGCCGGCCCGGTGGCACACTGCTACAGTGCGCCGCTTGGGAGCGCGGCGGCGCTCCCGCCGAGGGTTCGGATCCCACATACAGACCGGTTCCTGCTCACTGGCTGAGCGAGGGGCGGGCGCAGCACCGAGGGTTGCGATCCCATTGCCGGTCCCGGTCCGGTATGGGCGCAACACTGAGGGTTGCGGTCCGTTGCCGGACACGAAAAAAGAAAAAAAAAAAAAAAAAAAAAAAAACACCCA